TCCTGGCTGAACTGCCAACTGTCAGCTTGCTCAACTGCGAACTGGCTGACTGGCTAAACCACCAATTCGCTGACTTACTCAACCGTTATATGGAAATTTACCCTGCCGCCAACTGTCAATTGGCTGAATAACAACTGGCCCGCCTGCTTAACTGCCGACTGGCTAACTTGATAAACCACCAACTGCCAACTGGTTAAACCGCCAACTGTCAAATGGCTCCACCGTCAACCTGCTCTCCTCTCTTAATTGGCAATGCCCTTCCTGACTGAACCATCAACTGGCTTTACTCAACCATCAATGCCTTTGCCGGCTCTACTACCAATCGCCATCTCGATCAATCTATATATATTCCATCATATATACGATCCTAACCAATGTTCCACTGCCACAATCAATATATATAACCAACAACTCCACCATGCCAATCGATATAAACCAGCTTCTTGGCTCCACTGTCAATTGCCTTCTGGTGGAACTGCTAACTGGCTCCCTCGCTCAACTGCCACTGGTCAACGAGCTCAATTACCATCTAACCCTAACCCTTGGAACTGGCCGGATCGCCAACTGTCTTACTGGTTTGACCGCCAACTGTCTTCCTGGCTCAATTGTCAACTGTCTTCCTGGCTCAACTGGCACTGTCATCCTGGCTCAACTGTGACGCTGGCCAATACCTTGCATTTGTTGCTAACTAGGTGAGCCTATCTACGAAGAATAACAAGCATGAAGAAGGAAAGAAGAAGAAAAAAAACACAGCGCCCCTCTACGCACAGCTCCTTCATATGATCCTTTGTGTGGACGGAACTTCCCAATACAGTACCGCTCCCAATATAGCATTGCTTAGGGCTCAAGCCCTATCTTGAGATAGCGGGAAAAGCCTCCTAGGATGACACTGTACGGAAGGCTCCGTCGCCAAGCCGTAGAGCTGTCAAGCCGCAGGGCTGGCTGTCACACTACCCCCCCCTTCACCAGACGCTTGCCCGCGAGCGTCCGTAACAGGAACATCGTCATCCGCGTAGTCCTCCACGAACCTGTCTTCCTCCGCGGCTTGAAGCCATTCCTGCAGTCGAACTGGTGGTCCCGGTGCCTCTGGATTGTCGTCATGGAAAGCCTTCAACGCTAATGGCGCATTTTTCAAGTAACCAGCGGGATACCACTTCGGGTCTGGGTCCCGGCCTAGCCAGCTCACACGATACCGCAGCTTCCTCCACATAATCCGTGCTGCAAGAACCTTCTCGATCTCCCACTCCGAATGACCATTGATCTCTAACTCCGGGCTCTCATCCTCTTGTTGACCCTTCAAGGGCTCGGTAGTAGTAGCAAGTCGGAGCTTCTCCGGCGCGAATATCGGGTGCACCTTCATGCCTTTCGGTAAGTCGAGTTCAAACGCATGTCCAACCTGT